TCCACCTCCGCCTATTATGGCATGCCAGACGTCTCCGACAACTTCTCTTCCCTTCATCAAACTCTTGAAGAACATGAAACCTGACAATAAGTGAAACAATAGCAAAGTTAACTTCAGGAATAACATTTTTCAAGATACAACCATATAATAGAAAGATTTCAAAGCAATAACAATCAACATCAAGTCCCAAGTTGCAAAAACAAGGAACATATGATAATGGCCAAATGGTTAGACCATGATGTACTGATTGAGTTTTCTTAAAAGATTAAACACAATTAGCATCTCATATAACAGAAGGAGTCATCACGATTGTTCTATTTCATCAAAACAGAGGCTACCAAAGGAAAATCACAATGCAAGCAACTATATGGTATATGGGGTTGGCTGCATAAATGATGTTTTGCCTTTCCACTTCATTTAATGTCATATACTCAACTCAACAAAGCCTTAACCCAACTATATGGTATATGGGGTCAGATATTTATTGTCATATCAATAGTTAACTTGTGAATCATAAATCATTTTTGACTACCTCAATTTGTGTTCATTTTAGCCTCCCCATCGCTCTTCTTGATCCTTCAACTTGCATAAGATCACTTCTTCACATTAGTCCATAGTTGGCCTTTTATACACATCCAAACCCCCTTTAGTTGTGTTACCTCCATACACTAGTTGATCCTCTCCAAGCCAGAGCCACAGAGCCATGGTATATCGGTTGGCACATTTAATTACTGACAGTATTGTATTTTATGTACCAATCATAACTGGCAATTCAGGAAATGGTGCTGGTATAGTTTCTACTAATACTGTAATTAAAACTTTTATAACTTGTTTTTATTGCTGAATGGAGTGACAAATTAATTTTATCTACAGTAAGTAAGCCTTACAGCTTCTCGTTGTTCACTAACTTAGACGCTGTTTGGCAAGTCTTTCTAAATAGATTATAGATCTTTCAAAAGCTCAGCGGAACAAAATACCTGCAGAGTTTTTGAGAGCTCTTCCATACAGATTTTGGTCAGAAGTTATGGCCTAAAGACATATAACAAGACAGACAAAATCTGTACTTCCAATTTTTCTCTACACAATCATACATGTCATAGGGGCCAGACTCACCAGTTAGTGTTGCAAACCTATGGAATATAGGTCCAAAATTAACCCATTTGGATTTCAATTTTTTGAGAGAAAGGATGACTTATATTTCATTCAGAAAAAAGGAAGTACATGAGATAATGTTCAGCTGAGAAATGAAAAAGATAAAAGCCCCATAGAACTAATACAGACAGAGAACTCTCACTATACAAGCAATCCAAATGAGCACCAGATTTAGCTAGACCATCAACAAGAGAATTAAGTTCCCTAGGAATCCAACACAGGTTTCCATTCATAGAAGAAAAAATGTCTCTAGCTTCAGTCAGGTAATCTCGAGGGACCTCCATCTTTTCTCCTAACCACTTGATAGTGGTAGGATGACATTTTTATTTTTTAATCACCAGACCTGTTTGGATGACAATGACCACCCAATCAAATTTCCTTACTGGAGGATCCACCATGATTTCTTGATTGTCCATTAGAAGGCTGAACGGCATCTTTATCTTTTAATCATCAAACCTTGTATCACCTTTTTTTTAAGGGTAAGTGGGAAAATCCCTGGTTCACGAGCACGAGAACATAGCTTAGGCCTTAGGCTCTCAGAGAAGCCACTTTGTGTGAAAATTGTTGTGGGTAAGGTCCATATCAAGTCTACCCCTCCCAAGACTCTAGATATCTGGGACCAACATTAGGTAATGGTCCTAAACCCCGTATTGCTCTTTTGGCCAAAATGATCTCAAGATGGGCAGAATACTGCTCTGGCAAAATCCCCTGTATATGTGTTCCATGTTGCCATTTATAACTGTGTATATAAGATGTATTACTCCTTTAATTCTTGATTCAAGTATTTCTTCTCTTATTCTAGATTAATTTATTTATTTTTTCGTTGTGCAACACTTGCTGCAGCTTTTTCACCTCTACGATTAATTGCAGGAGCACTAGCTGGTTATGTTATTGTGACTTGCATCTTCTGTAACTTAAAAGTTCACCTACTGCGCACTCCAAGTGTTAACCAGCTAGCTAGCTTTCTGGATTGTATACTGTACTATTCTTATCAGAGAAGGTAAGCTTAACTAGTATCAAAGCACATTGTCCATACCTAACGAGTATCAAAGCTTAACTAGTCATACAGCCTACATACTTGTATTGTATACTGTACTATTATTTTCTCAAATGGAAAGATCATCTCTGTTTTGCTAAGTATTTTTCATCATTCTCTGCTTTTCTTTTCATTTCCTTTTTTTATTTATTTTCATGATATTATTTTTTTAATTTTAGTTAAATCAGTCCAACAAATCAATCTTACCACGTTAGTTCTTATGCTAGACATCAACTAAGAAAGCATAGCATATCTTGTGAACAAACATAATCATACTAATGTAATGAAACGATCAAAGGGGGAAATCTAATAGCATTTTAGGACTCACTAACTACCAACGAATGAGAAAAAAAAAAGATAGAAGGAGGGAAAATGGAGAGAACGACAGAAGGAATGTTACCTTCTCCTCTCTTGCTCGAACGAGAAAAGATCAGTGGTGCTTGCTTGAAGTTTCCTCCTCAAACACAAAGGGATTTTCCTTTCTTCGAAAAATAAAATCTCTGCTAGCTACCTTGCACGAACCCTAAGTACGAAATTTTTCTTTCTCGTCCTCTCTTAGAAGAACAAAAGCTGTGCTAGCTACCTTGCACGAACCCTAACCATTTTTCTTTCTGGTGAAGAACCTTGTCGACAGAACCTTCTCGTGAAGAACTTTGCAAGTTTGTCGACAGAACCTTGTCTTCTTCAAGTTTGTCTTCTCGTGAAGAACTCTTTTCGCGCGGGAGAAAAGAGTTTTCTCTACAATACTTCCCAAGTTTGTCTTCTTCCAAAAGAGAAATTTCTTGTCGACAGAACTTTGTATTCGGGCAGGAGAGCAGATTTTTGTTTGCAATGATCTCCAAGTCTTCTTCCAAATGAGAAATTGGCTGTCGAGTTCTTGTTAATAGCCTTCATCTTCGCGCGAGAGATTAATTGGGAGAAAAAATTTTTCCCTCCCCGCGTAACCGCGTTTCTCAAGATTAAACCGGTTTAATACCGGTTGGGTAAGATTAAACTGGTTTGGTTTCGATTTATTATATAATCTAGCGAATAGACCACTGCGGCAGGTTTTAAAACGAGAGCAGGATCTGATATGTCCCTATAGTGACGGTCAGAAAGGCCGCCGGCTTTGACTGTTTTTCTTATAGTGAATGTAATTACTAAATGAAGCAAACGATTTTCATGAGTGAAAAGCATACCTTGTAAGTTGGCAAATGATAGGTCATCTGTTTGGGTAATGATCGTCATAGAGAAAGCATCATAATCTGGACCAAGGCCATTGAGGGTATAATTAATTAACTGTGATTTGTCAAAGACTCACCGACTACAGCCAGCTTGTCACTGAACACCTTGAGTTTTGCAGATAATCAGTTATGGAGAGATCATTTTTTCGTAATGCTCCAAATTCGTTCCTAAAACCAATGGCACTAGTTGTTCCTCGATGGGAATAAAAGTTCTCAAGGATTACCCAAACTTTTCTGCTTATTTTGCT